GCCTCGAACTCACAGAGATCCGCCTGGCTCTGCCTCCCGAGGGCTGGGATTAAAGGCGTGCACCACCACCACCCTCCTATGCTTACCTTTTCTAAGAGAGGGGGAGTAAATGGAAACACATTTGCATCCCAGATCACATCACACTGAAGATAGATTGCATGGTTTGGTGTTTCTTGGATTTCTGTAACTTTGTAGCCATTGAGGTGGGACTGTGGGTCCAGTAATGAAGTTTAATAAATCCTCTCCTTTAATGAGCGTTGCAGCTTTGTCTGAGACGTGATGAATAAACCAGCGGTTCCAGTATAGAGCCACAGGTGCTCTGACTGAGAAGTACGGTGATTGGTTAGGGGGACATATACCTCAACTTGGGCAAGCAGCGAGGACGTTACAGGGAAAAGCATCAGTACTCTTAGGACTCTTGACTGCTGCTAAATTTAGCATGAAAAATCAAGTAATGTCTGGCTCTAAGAACATGGGAAATTCCTGGCTTCAAAACAAGTTCCCAAGTGCCCATACCAACATCATTAGAAAGAATTAATTTCTCAGGTAATGATTTTGAAAGGGGGCATCATCCATTTGTGTAGATAGTTCTGGCATTGATTTAAAAGTCATTTTCAAAAAAAAAAAGTCACTTTCAGTATTTTATGTTCTTTTTTTTTTTTTTTTTTTTTTTGTCCTGCCCCTGTGGGAGTCTTGTCTTTCCTATGTTAGTGGGACTTATTTTTCAGGCTCAGCATCAGAAGGGAAGTCCATCTCCATGTCCATCAGAAGGAAAGTCCATATCCCCATGTCCATCAGAAGGGAAGTCCATCCCCATATCCATCAGAAGGGAAGTCCATCTCCATGTCCATAAGAAGGGAAGTCCATCTCCATGTCCATAAGAAGGGAAGTCCATCCCCATGTCCATCAGAAGGGAAGTCCATCCCTATATCCATCAGAAGGGAAGTCCATCCCCATATCCATAAGAAGGGAAGTCCATCCCCATATCCATCAGAAGGGAAGTCCATCTCCATGTCCATAAGAAGGGAAGTCCATCTCCATGTCCATCAGAAGGGAAGTCCATCCCCATGTCTATAAGAAGGGAAGTCCATCCCCATGTCCATAAAAAGGGAAGTCCATCTCCATGTCCATCAGAAGGGAAGCTCATCTCTGTATCTATAAAAGGGAAGCTCATCCTTCATGCGCAGGTGATTTCATTGGAATGTTAAGGAACATCCCATCTCCAGTGTTTTGTCCCAAGGGACACCTAGCTTTTTGTCTTCAGTGTGACCTCTATTATCTAGGGGAGGCATGCTTGAAGTAGATTATAATTGTGAAAATGAATCACAGTTAAAAGTGCCTTTTCAGCCGGGCGTTGGTGGCGCACGCCTTTAATCCCAGCACTCGGGAGGCAGAGCCAGGCGGATCTCTGGGAGTTCGAGGCCAGCCTGGGCTACCAAGTGAGCTCCAGGAAAGGCGCAAAGCTACACAGAGAAACCCTGTCTCGAAAAACCAAAAAAAAAAAAAAAAAAAAAGTGCCTTTTCATTCACTGATAGGTTTAGAGTAGCAGTATTTTACTTAGAAGGATTGTTGTTTAGGATAAATGAGTGAATATCATTGAGAAATCTATCTCCTTTAACTGTGGGAAATAAACTGCCTTTTTTTGGTATGTTACTTTTTTTTCTTGCTTTCCATCCAAGGTACTTCTTGAATCTCTAAAATACCTTGAGGAATCAATCTCCTCTAAATGACTAATTGTTGATCTGGAGCTATATATCACAATTACTTGCTTTTTGTTGTCTTACAGAATTTTCTGAGCATTGTTCATAGATTTAAGCCTGGAGGCTCTTATGTTAGGGCTTCTGGGGGAAGCCAACAAAACCAGAGCAAGCACGTTTCCGTACACATCCACTCTCGCTTTCATTCATATAAACTATTACTTGTTTCTTTTTATTCTGGGAAGTAATCTGGCTCTCTGGATTTTTATTTGAAAAGTAATCAGTTCTGTGATTGCATAACCCAAAATAAATTTGATTGCCTTGACTTACAGTCTAATCAATTATTCAAACAGTTTTAGTAGGTTAGAGCTGAAATTGAGACTTAACTTTTCATCGTTATCACTCACAAAAAATAAGTCTTATCAGCTGTATTTTGTTAGCGGCAGACTTGAAATAACACACTAGAGCCTCTGTTGAAATGAATGTGAGCCGTCTAAGCCCCAGTGCTGGTTCTGCAACTGGCTTAGGCTGTGTTTAGAGTGGAGGCAGAGACTGGACTATCCTGCACCTCTGCCATTGGATGTGAGGGTGACATGCTCTGAATGAAGGTTGTGACCTGTGCTTGTCCAGGCGGCTGGCACAGGAATGCCGTTATTATCACCGAGGAATCTCATTTGTTTGGACACTCCATAAGTTAAGTGGATAGCACCAGCTTGGCATTTGGTGTTTTCCAAGAATGAATTTGTATCTACTTAAAATTCAGAACACAGCCCTAGCAGCCACCCTTTGATTGTAAAGGTCAGATAGTGCTTGCGTAGTTGAAAGTAATGACTGACTCTCCCCAAAGAAATACTGGTCTCAGATGGATGCGTTTCCAGAACCAACATGGGAATGCGTCAGAAGTTCATGATAACTGACTGAGATGAGAGGTTCAGAGAGCCATGGGTTTGCTTTATCTGACTTCACAACAGCCTTTGCAAGGATGCTGGGCCTTGGGCACCTTTAAGCTTTCCTGCATCCTTACCTCTTCCCATCTTGCAAAAGGCCGTGCTCATCTGTCTCTTTTGTTGTATATTAAATCCAAACTACCTCAGGATGGGAACCTATCCTCACCCTGGCAAGTACTGTTTCGCTACTTCAAAGGGTTTGCCCATATGGTTGTTCTCCCTCTTCAGTCAGTCCTCTTGGGGCACAAAACTCCCCTTGTATCCTCTGTTCCTGACTCCTCAGGAAGTGCCACTGCCTCCTGCTGGCTGAA